AGTACAAATGTATTACTGTAACGGCACATTAACATAAATACCGCCTGTGTGTTTGCATAACTGTATACAAACATTCGCTTTCACTCACCCTTCTTTTATATTAAATAACGCATCAATTTGGAAGCTTTGCTAAGCTGTCCTCCCTCCCAGGGTGACAAAATATAATTTCCGGTCATGCGTTCTTTTCAAAATAAGGTAGCCGACTACACATCCGGCTAGTGATGGCCAAATGAAGCTTTCTGAAAACGGTTCGTTACTCGAAGCTTTTCAACACAGTCCTTTTTGGTGACATCTTGTGGCCAAAAATATGAAGAGCAGCTTGAATCCACAAAATAAAACCAACTGCTTCATAATGATTGTCCACTCTACAGAGTGGAATTCTGTCTGATATTGCGCTGCTGTTGTGTTGCTTTGAACGTGTATTTTTTTGTGTTAAAAAAATGTGGTTTATTTGTCTAATAAATAATTTTGACCAGTAAACTTTCCTTGTCTTTCTTTGCTTGTGACTTCTTGATGTTGGTAAATACAATAATTGAAAAATACCACGTTACATATAACATACATATAATAATGCACATTATGGAGTATGCTTCTGCTGTGAGGTCCTGCCTCCATGTACTTATGCAATTAATCGCTAGACGGGTATATTTATAAACAATATTATATTAGGGAAATTTTCCTATACATATTTTTGACCTGGGGGTAGAATTGATTGTGAGATGGAAAGGGAAAATGCTTATGAGGTTGTGTAACGGAGTTAAAAATACATATGAAAAACATGCACTTACCTGTTCTTAATTATCATTTTAAGTGTGAATTTTATCATTTTTTTAAATTGTATTTTATTTTGAAAACCCAGAAACCGGATCTCACTCTAACGTTTAGAAGCTGCTAAGGCTTCCGCTTCTCACAGCGCGCGTTTGCACTGTGAGGGAGCTACAATTGCTGTACCATCAGAAGACACCTGTTGAGTGTGTTTTATGTCTTCTGCAGGAATAAATCGTGAAAAGCCAATCTTTCTGAGCGTCTGTGATTTTTGAAGAGCTGGGAGTGTTACAGTTGCAAATTAAAAACATGATGCATTTTAGGTAACACTTTTTCATTTTTATTTAAGAAGAGAATTTGTTCCGCTGTGCGATGGCCGAACCTGTTCCTTTTCGTGGAGATAATTTCTCCTGCCTTAAGGAAAATCCCTTCACATGGCACAGAAGATGCTGGAGTGCAGAAAAACTGATAGAGATGCAGTTATACAGTCTAACTCGACCTCACAAACTATCAGCTAAAGAGAATAAATAAATTAAATTGCTGCACATTTTGTAGACTAACATTTTAAGATTATTTTTAAAAATAAAATATATCTTTTTATAACATTAAATGTTACGAGTCAAATGGAAGTTTTTCTAAAGTTATTTAATGATATTTATATTATGAAAAGCAGATTTTTGACATTTTAAGTTTTTCCCGTTTCCAGATAAAATAAACACGCACAAAACAAAAGCAAACAGCCAGAACACAAAGCTGGAAAAACCCACCCGATTGACCAAAATCAACTCAAAATACTCCCACACAACAGAACCTCCTCTATTCCTCGTTGGCTCCAAATCTCTCAGTAGAATGATCAGTGGTTCGCTATTTGTCACCATCAAAACACTCCATAAATCCCGCGAATGATTCACCTGCTTATAAACCATTGAATCAGATACCGAAGCAGTTAGCTTCTAAATGAAGCTTCGGACGTCACCGATCACGTGACTCTGGCCAAACGAATCAAGCTTCGACACAGTGCTTCTGAAGCAGTGTGTTGATTTTTTTGACACACGCCATCACTACATCCAGCATATATTAGGCGAAAGCGAAGGAGAGATAAGCCTACTACCGGTACAATTATCTTTTTGTTGTTTGTTTGTTTGCCATGTTCTCTAAGATCAACATCTGACGTTGCTATATTAGAAGAAAAGTGGCCACACTGTTGTATATTGTGAAACACCCAATTTTTTAAACTACTATAGTAAATAAATATAATCAAATCCAATAATAATGGAAGTAATACGTCAGATCCAAATGAGACATGGTTCACCTTAGTTCAAGTAGGCTAATGTTATGATAATGTCAGTCATGCATCCCAAATTGAATGTGATAGTTAAGAGGTGTGCCTCTATCTCCTCTGTCTGTAAAATACCTTGATGCATGGAGGAGATGCAATGGAAACATACCTTTGATTTTGTTTTTTTAAAATTAATATGAAAGAATATAAAATAAAAGCGAGCGAAAGCAGCTGTTTGTAGTTATATCTCATGTGTTTAATATTTTTACTTTTAGGCTCTTTTAGCTATAAAGGTTAAAAACAGAAAAGCAAAATGCAATGCAGTTTAATCTTTTCACTTTAACAAACACAACATGAGATCCGTGACTGTTTAACCACGTAATTTTTAATGAACTTGTAAAAATGCTGACCTTCTAACATGAACCACACTGATCACATATTTTGCCACTGCCATGTACATTTCACATTATCAGAGTACTTGAACAAACACCTAGAACAGTACAGTTCTAGTACATGCAGGCTAGTTTACATCTCTTCATGAAAATTGCACATTTTACTTCATGTTTCATTTTTTTCACAACTTTACCTTTGATTGATTTTAAAATCTAGGCGGGGGGAAGGGGGGGGGGTTATTGACAGAATTCAGCTCGGATGGAAGGTCAGGGCAGGTCTGAAAAGGTTTTACGACGAGGTGGTCCAACTTCTTTCTGCTCTTCTTCCTTTGCCATGCCTTCAAACATCAAGATCCTTGAATAAAAACAAGACATTTTACATGCTTTAAAAAGCATTCTTGCAAACCTCAGACGTTACGCACTTGTTTCTCTATTGTCGGTAAGCAGTAGGCCTAGATCTTTTTAGTTTCAGTTTATTTATGAAAATGCTTCTGTGCTGGAATTGAAATACAAGATTTCTTTTATTATTCCTTCTAAGAAAAACTTTTCGCATCTGTAAATGTATCTTATGGGTTGCTGTGCAAGCTGTTATTGTGAATAGTATTTATTTATGTAAAATTGTTATTATCACAGTGAGATGGATAGGATCTTTTTACCCCACTGCCAACAACAAAACGACAAACCTACAGAGCATGTGCACGTAGCAAGTAAAGTGAAAGTAAATGAGAAGAAAGTGTTCATGTAAATGAAACTCATTCCCCAAGTTAACCAGACTGCAGAAAATATCTGAAGGACTACTTTGATATATAGGCTCAGTTTCAACATAACCAGTAATTTCACAAGTATAGGTTTCTGATGTCCAGTATTAGTTCAGTTTTTCAGTTGTTTGGGAAGTTCTTCTCGCTATAACCTTATTTGACCTTGGACTCCACTTGCAGTCTACAGCTATGCTCTGAATAGCAACTTATTTCATACTCACAGTTTTAAAATTGCATTTCTCTTTCCCAGCATCATATTGAGGAAGTCATTGTAGCTGATAGTGTCTTTTGAGCTACTTCCAACCACCTCTGCCATCATTTTTTTCAGTTCCAGGTGAGTCTTGGCCAATCCAAGTTTCTCCAACATCCTCTTCAAACCCATTATGTCTATAAAATTACAAGTGCGCAAAAAGAAAAATGAAGTAAAAAACATTACTGCTTGCTTAATCTGAGAGGTTTATTTTGTTGTTTTTTTTGTCTGAGGCACTACTGAAAGTAGCACTTGCTTAATGTTGCTAAAAAAAAATTACTTCAGGGCTGCACGGCTAGTGGCGTCCTACCTATTTCCCCTTTGTCGTTGAGATCAAACTCCATGTATTTCTCTGTAACATAAACAATATGATTATTATTATTCCAAAATTTATGACTTTGCACCAATTGAACAATGAACTGAAGTGTTACTGGTACCCCCTTTGAGACTCACTTTTAAACATTTCAAGCTTTGAGGCCAGGTCTTCCTCTCCTTCATATTTAGGATCTGTGAGAAAAGCCTAATAATGACATAAATACACAATTTAGCATCGCAGGGTGTCAGTCGACGTCTTGGACAGTTCTGTGTTTAGCTCACCTCGTTGATACCGTTTAGCTTTTCCTCCTGCTGAGACTTTAGAAGACCAAATGCTTTACCACCTGTGAAAAACCAATATTTTAGGAACAACAACAGCCTGAGAGAACTCTCACAAACAATCAATAAGAACTGGTAGTTTAATGGATGAATTAACAACATAAATGAATGATTAAATAAGTAAATTCAGTCTTGTATTGTTCAGGCTGGTTAAAGTGGCTTTAACAACCAAAGCTAACAGAAAGACAAACTAACCTTGAGCACAGTCCATTTCTGTCAAGAGAGCTGAGAAACTGTGAAACCAACACAAACACAGGCGGAAGGTTACGATGATGCTTCTATAAACTGAACGAGAAGAGGAAGTGAAGTGACAAAGTTTCAGTTAGACAGAAAAGGTTCCTCTGTTACATTTAAGGCTGCAGAAAATGAGGCCAACCTGATGACACAGATAATAATTTAGGAGAACTGTGTGCATGCAGGACACACGTGTGATCCATCAGCTTATTTAAAATTGTATGTTTTAGGAAGAAGACGTATGTGGCAATAAGATCTTTCTTTAGTGCTCTAGTCTGGAAACTTTTGCTCATGAGGCATTTTTGGATTACATCATATTTTGTTATTCACAGTTTTTTTTTCTGGGTGTGGGTTCCTTTTTATTCATTTAAATGAAAGAGTTATGCACATTTACACCTGGAAGTACCTCAAAGGTGAAATGCCTGTACCAGTGAACAGCTCCACTGGAACGGGTGGAAGTAAAGTGGTTTAAGCAGTCACATAAGTCAGATCAGTGTGTTTGGAGAGAACTTTAGTGCAGCTTTATCACTTTCTTTTCCTTACTTTAAACATGAGCCCAGAAAGCAACTTGGCCAAAAAAATGGCCAAATGTAATGCCTAGTTCTTGCCACACTGTGGTATTGTTGATCACATAATCAGGTAAAGAACATCCAAAAGACTCATGGTAGTTTCCAGTTGAGACTTCTATGTAACTTCAAGGAAGTGAAAATAAAAAGGTCTAGAGGTGACTGATCTTTGTCTCTTCACTAGCTGCATTACACAGAACATGTTACATTTATATCTTCAGGGTTACCTTTCTTTAATTCTGTTGAATGTCGCATCAGGATTTGGAGGTAAGCAGTTCTGCAGATAATGTCTGGATCTGATTGGATAAAAATAAACGCTTTTTAACTATGCTTACTACATTTGTAATTAAATAACTAAAGGTTTATTCAGTGTATATCATCTTGGCTCCAAAAATTATTTAACAACAAATGCAATTTCATTATATGCCATGAATCTAAAAATATGCATACTGCTAATCTGATATTGCATATTTTGGTGTAAACTTTCTAACCAGCAAAAATGAGGTACTTGCTTCCTTGAATGCGATGCATGTATTAGTACATTTAGACTCATTATTTAACTTTTGGCTTAACAGATACTGAGCCCATCTTAGCTGTTCAAGAAGAAGATGTAGCTCTCACTTGTTTCAGTCAAAATGACACGGATCCAAACAGCTTCTACAGATACAGCGTGACAAAGTTTGCTACAGATCCTAATCAAGTGAAGGATATGTTTAAATGGCCCACACCGAGCAACGATGTGTATAAACGTGTAAAATGGGTAGCTGATGGAAATGGACAAAAATGCTTAACTCTGACAAAACCTCAAAAATCCGACGCAGGACTGTACACTTGTGAAATGTGGAAAGGATGGGACCGTGTTGTGGCCAAAAACATATCTTTGAGAATAAAAGGTAAAACTTTTTACTACTTTCTCTTTACTTTGCAAGCAAATATCTCACTGGTGAGTCACATGATTTGTTATGATCTTGCAGACTGCAAAGTCCTTGAACCTGTGAAGGCCGCACCCAGCATGCCTGCCAAGTTAAACTGCCCAGTAAACATGACAACTGGACAACAAGAACCTCAAAACATCTCCTGGGCAATCCAGAAAGGAGACATGCGTGAATCACTCGACTCCAGCAAAGCCAAAACTGATGGTACATCTCTGACTTTCCAGTCTGTGAACACCAGCGACAGTGGCTGGTATACATGCAGTTACACGCTTGGTAAAACTCAGCGCTGCTTTGACACCAATCTACAAGTACAAGGTCAGTGATTTTTTTCTTTGACATGTCAAAAGCAATGATCAAACATACACACAAGTAATATGTAAGATTCCTGTTTTTTCACACGAAGCTTTTGTGACCACAACGGTTCCGGTTATTCCAACAAAATCTCCGAGTCTGCCAGGTCTGTTTGCCTTTGCTGTCATGCACATTCATTAAATCATATTTATGATTATATGTTCACTATATTGTTGCTTTAACTTTCGCCTTGTTCTCTTTAGCACCAAAAGCCAATGATATATCTCTGTCGCAAAGGAAGGAGGAGAGCAATGATGCTTTAATTGCAGTTGTGGTCTGTGTCATTTTGGGGATGATCATAATTGCTGCTGTGATTGGACTCGTTGTGTACCGCAGATGCAAAACCCAGAGAGTCACACAGTTACACCAGAGGCGCTTTAACGGTTTGATCTGACTTTAAACTCTTTCATTCTTATCACACTGTCATACAGTCACACTATCATAATGTAGTGTTGAGTTGTTTAAATATTTCTGTTTTCTTGTTATTCAGGTAATTGTATGTCTACATATGAGATTGTTGCACCTTTGACGAGTGAGTGCAAACTCTCTTCTTACTGCGCTTTTTAGCCACTGTGATGCCTTTCAGTTCAACACTTGACTTGAACCTTTTTCTTTTTTCACAGATACTCCAGGCCAGCGAATCAACAGTCTGTATCAAATGCCAGACGAAAGCTTAGTTACCTGTAAGTTGTATGAGGTTTTGCCTCCTTTATGAAATTGTTCAAATCTTATCATGTCAACAAAAAACAACCCAACAACAACGAAAACCAAAGAAACCAAAACATTTTTCTCTCCTTTGTTGCAGTCCAATAATAAATATTTTCAAGTAAGGAAGAAGATTCTCCTTTGCAGTTATCTCATCCTTGCAGTGTGGGTTGGATTTTCAAAAGTAGATAAGTTTGCATGCTTATAATGTGACCAATCATGTTTTTGTAACTTTATTTGTTTAAAATCTTGCATGCATGTCTGTAGCAAGGCAAAGGACGAGCTGATTTACTGTGCATTTCTGTTTCTTGAAATAGAAAAAAGTCTGTTTTCAAACAGGTTTTGTAAACCACATCTGTTGATGATTTTGAAGTTTGTGATAAAGACAAAGAATAGCATGTGGTTTCACTCTAGTTCACAGCTTGTAATAAATCATAAAAACTGGTTGTTGCAGTGGCTGCTTCTCTTTTTAAATGTAGTTGCTGTTGTTGTTCCTCATTACGATCATCCTGAACGACCTCGTACACATGAGTCTGAGGAGAAGAGCACCAACATTAGTGAAATAGGACATGTGAGCTTGACTCGGCATGATCCTGTTTTTTGATATCTTACCATTTCAGTACTGGGCTGATCATTAGCTGCAGACCAAGAAGGAAAACATTGTGGTCATTGTGGAAATATTCAATCTCCATCAAAGCCTTAGAGTAATTCATGTTGTAGCTGTTGTTTGGTTGTAATTTCTGAAGCACATTCAGTACCTGCATCCTTGTTGCGCTTCCTCTTGGTGTAAATGTAGAGCCCACCCGCCACTATCAGGATGACTAGAGGCAGGCCTACCCAGGCAGGTGTTTGCAGAGCTGGGGAAAGGAATAATTTTCCGATCAGTTTAGTCATGAATAGAAGGTGCATTCAGCAGACAAGGCAACAGTAAAGTAATTCATGCTTACGGTCAACGGCACGCCACTTTTTTGATGCCACCCGAGCGCCCTCTCTGTGCACAGAGCATGTTATATCTTCGTATGATCGCACTGATGACTCTGGGAGAAATAACTTCTTTATCAGAGTATTATTGATATTCATTAATTCACTCTGCCAACCTATGTGGGCACTTCCTGACCAAGTTAATTCAAAGTCTTTTTCACATTCTGTGGCACAGGTAAGTGCACAGGTCAAGGTGAGATTATCCCCTCTGAGCCCTGCAGGCATTGCAGTTACTGTAAAAATGTAGAACATGAGAGATGAAACATCAGATATTGATAGCTATCTCTCCATCTCTCTCTCTTTCTCTCTCATATTTGTATGTGTATATATATACACTTGCATCTACAAAGTTTTAATACTTACCATCAAGGGTATGCAGCCTGAATTTATTGAGCACATCTTTTTTATCAGTGGAGTGTGAACACTGGTAGTCTCCAGCATGCAGTGAGCTCAGTCTGCTAATGACCAGAGAGGAATCTTGATTCACATGTGATGCTTTTATTTGGCCATTATCAGGTGAGCTAGCATCTCTCAGTTGCTTTTCACGCAAAGTCCACTTCATATCAGGAGAGGAAGTGTTGCCACAAGTCAATAGTACTGACTCACCCACTGTGGCAAACACTTCCTCTAGTCCATCTGGGGAAAAGGGAGAACTGGTCACACTTTGTACGTACTGAGCAACATTTTTCATTTTGTGTACAGGCTGTGTAGCACCTTCTACTGTTGTCATATAACTGATGGTGGCTTTAACAAGGTCATTCTGAGTTAGATGACATCTCCATTTTCTGTGGTGGTCTGTCGATTTTGTATCAATGATCAGTTTAGAGAAGCAATTATGTGGATGTTCAATTACAAATCTGCTTCCATTTATTGGTGTATCATCCTCAGAGCTCCAGTTAATATGAAGCTCTTTGTGGTTGAAACAGGGGTCAGCTCCTTTATTTGTACTGAGGTAACAATGAAGCTCCATCTTTTTGTCATTTGCAGGAAGTGACCTTTCAGTAACTGGTGGATAAAAAAAAGTGAGCATTGTGATATTTTTGTTTACTATTTCTGTATGTAAAACAAAAAAAACAAAAAGAAGGTGTGAAGCAAAAACACTTACTGCAAAGAATTCGAAGTGAAACACTTGACTTGAGCGTTCCACTCTTACACGTGTAAAGCCGTGCGTCATTGAGCACCAGCTGAGTAATCTGCAGAGAGCAGTCTTTGAGCAGGCGATACCTGTGGCTGCTTGGAGCTGTCGGTTTTTCTTTCTTTATAATCTCATCAGTTAAATTAAATTCTGCACTCATGTCCCAGCTGATAGAAGAACAGGTTTTGATAGAAGGGATACCACATGGCAAAGTAACATTATCTCCTTCTACAGCGACCATTAGCAAAGGGTTCCCTGAAGAAAATTACAGAAAAATGCATTTTTTTAAAATGAAAAAGATTTCTTAAAATCTATATATGCCATAAAATGAAAACTGTAACACTTGTGTACATGTGAGCAGTTCACAAAGGACTGAGTGAATATCTGAGATCACAATTATTTTGTGAGTTATTTTTATTATGGTTATTTTGCTATGATACAATATAAGGTTAAAAAAAAATCAGTAACCACTGACTAATTATTTTTCTGTGACACCAACAAGTTTTGTCTCATAACGGTGCCTCGTGGGTTAGAAAACAATCAGAAAGGATGAAATCAAGCCATGTCCAAGAGGGTTTTACAAGGTACCGCGTGTGAATATATTACATCATGTGTATATATATTTATAGGTGTTATATGTTTGTTTAATTACCAGTTGGATGATGTCCACTTGCTGCCTGTGTGAGATAAAAAAGACAGATTACCAACAGTGAAAGCGAGTCCATCTTGCCGTTTCCAGATTTTCTCTGTTATTGCAAAATGCTCTTATAGCAGAAGTTTTGCAAAACACTTTTCCAGGAAATGACACATGAAGATCATGTTTAACTGAGGAGAATGACTCACAAGAGAAATTTATATTTATGTAGTGATCGACTCCGTCATGTTTATTCAAAATTGTCACAATCACTTTAAGTGTTGTGACTGTTGTGATTTACCTGTCAATTAAATTACTTTTAATAATAACGTCTACATTCCTTTTTATCACCAGGATGCTATTAATTGTGTAACAACCCAAACAGCAGATACTGCTGTATCCAGTGCTGTGGAGACTGCATTTTTAAGGTTTGTCCACCAGGTGGTGCTGTCAGATTCAGTGAAACCTGCAAAAAAGAAGGCTCTTTCACATTGTGGTGTCCGACTCCGTAGATACATTAACAGCATTCATTTTTACGACTTTTTACTCCTCTCACTTTAGTTTTTCATTTTGCAAAAATATAATTACTTATATGATCATTGTTGTAATTTCCCTCCACTACAGGTGAACATTAATGAGCACCAACAGTACAGTTATTCTGTGCATTGCCAATGAAGAAATAAAAACTTTGGTTTGGACATTTTATTCAGTGATGGTGGAACAAGTAACTTTGATAATAAAGTGTAGGAATAAATAAGAATAAGAAGAGAAAATATAAATATGTGAAACATAAATTTGCACATGCATGGCCAACGCAAACAACAAGTCAGCAATACACCCACTGCAGCTCAGGGATTAGTCACAGGTCTTGGACGTGCTACAACTTCATAGGACTTGATTTTAAGCACAACACTGGCAACTCCTCTCAGATCAGGCAGTGAGGTCTCGCTCTCAGGCAGGAGGAACTGAAAATCTCTCAGCAAGTAGGCACTGAACAGAAAAAGCTCCATTTTG